GGGAGTGCCAAGCAACCTCCCAGCTGGCTACATAGGCATGGCAGGGATGTCACATACAGGCTGTAATCAGCAAGAAATTGTCAGAGCTAGAGACTAACTGCAACATTTACAAAAGCTCGTGACCACCATCTTTGCGTATTTATTAAATAAAGAAGAACCAGCGATCTGCTGTGGTTTCTTGGAACACATAATGTCAGAGTAACAAAAAGGAAAATGATTTAATGTCTCCGATAGGTAGACAGCAGCATCTGCCTTCTTGCATGTATCAAACACAGCTTAATAACTTCCTATTTACAGCTTCATGGCAGAGGTCCAGTAAATAAACAACCTGACTGAATTAGTCTATTTTTATACCTCTGTCCTGTGTAACAAACCTCTTGAACCACACTTAATATGAACAGCAAATTTTGCACTACACATGGAGATCTCTCATCACAGATTAAATTAGTTATAATAAAACAATTAAAATCTGTTTGCCCAGAGACAGGAGGAAATGAAGGACCTGTGTGAGCAGCAGAAAGGTAAAAGGGGTGGGTTGTCAGGACATCAGAAGAGTAAACAGCAGACCCGTGATTCTCAGGGTCAAACTTACTGCAAGATAACTGTGCAAGAGATAATAAATCAGTAGTACGTATTAAACACCAGATGGTTGTGCCCATGCAGGAAGGCACAAGAGATCATGTAACTGTGGTTGTTTCTAAGGGTTACTGATTCAGCCTGACTTCACAGGGATATCCTAACAAATAAAATCTTTATGGCCTCTTCCGCTGGTGAACATTTTCATCTACTGTTTAAAGGCAGGAGCACATGTCTTAGCTTTTTCATTGCCCCTAATATATATGCAAATTTAATTTGCTAAGTTCACACAGTTTAGGCTGGTGACGATTTTTTTACTATCTAGTACTGTAGAGTAGCTTCACAGTGATTATTAAAATACTCAGATGGACAGACAGGCCATTGTTCCAAGCTTTAGCTCAGCTGAATCCCCCAAGTGTTTTGGGCATAGAGGCAAACACACTTAAAACTCCTGAACCTATTGAGTTGTCTTTCAGAATTGTCCAGGCAACAGAATTTATTTATAAAACTCTTGCAATCGTTGATTCAAAACAAGGTTTTCTTGTTCTGCTTTTCTCCTTTGTCCTCTTTGAACAATTTTCTTTGGAATGTTTTCGTTGTGCTCAGGAGTCCGAGATTTCCTGGGGCTTCTAATAAAGGCATTTGATTTCCACTCTCCACATACTTTAACAAGTCCAAGGATTTTGAGGTTTGACTTAAGAGAGCTGGATATAATCAGCCATGGGGGTAAAAAAGTTAGAGTTATGCAAATTATTTGTAAAATGTATAGAAAACAAAAGAGGTATTTCTTTAAATGTGGTTGGTGTGGGACAGTCTTTGTCTGGGCACAGCCTGTCTGCATGCTGCCCTTCGAATTTATGGCTCTGATGGAAACCTGTAAAGGGGTGATCTGTAAAGTATTCCTGCT